AAGTACGTCTGACGTTTTTCTTTAAAATTAGCATTTCTTTCTGGCTACTATGTATAGGTATCTATGTAAGTACTGGTACTTCTGAATGGGTTGAGGCTGGGAATTAGTGCATTTGAATATAGTGCATATATAGGTGCATCTCAATAAATTAGAATGTCGTGGAAAAGTTTATTTATTTCAGTAATTCAACTCAAATTGTGAAACTTGTGTATTAAATAAATTCAATGCACACAGATTGAAGTAGTTTAAGTCTTTGGTTCTTTTAATTGTGATGATTTTGGTTCACATTTAACAAAAACCCACCAATTCACTATCTCAACTAATTAGAATATGGTGACATGCCAATCAGCTAATCAACTCAAAACACCTGCAAAGGTTTCCTGAGCCTTCAAAATGGTCTCTCAGTTTGGTTCACTAGGCTATACAATCATGGGGAAGACTGCTGATCTGACAGTTGTCCAGAAGACAATCATTGACACCCTTCACAAGGAGGGTAAGCCACAAACATTCATTGTCAAAGAAGCTGGCTGTTCACAGAGTGCTGTATCCAAGTATGTTAACAGAAAGTTGAGTGGAAGGAAAAGGTGTGGAAGAAAAAGATGCACAACCAACCGAGAGAACCGCAGCCTTATGAGGATTGTCAAGCAAAATCGATTCAAGAATTTGAGTGAACTTCACAAGGAATGGACTGAGGCTGGGGTCAAGGCATCAAGAGCCACCACACACAGACGTGTCAAGGAATTTGGCTACAGTTGTCGTATTCCTCTTGTTAAGCCACTCCTGAACCGCAGACAACGTCAGAGGCGTCTTACCTGGGCTAAGGAGAAGAAGAACTGGACTGTTGCCCAGTGGTCCAAAGTCCTTTTTTCAGATGAGAGCAAGTTTTGTATTTCATTTGGAAACCAAGGTCCTAGAGTCTGGAGGAAGGGTGGAGAAGCTCATAGCCCAAGTTGCTTGAAGTCCAGTGTTAAGTTTCCACAGTCTGTGATGATTTGGGGTGCAATGTCATCTGCTGGTGTTGGTCCATTGTGTTTTTTGAAAACCAACGTCACTGCACCCGTTTACCAAGACATTTTGGAGCACTTCATGCTTCCTTCTGTTGACCAGCTTTTTGAAGATGCTGATTTCATTTTCCAGCAGGATTTGGCACCTGCCCACACTGCCAAAAGCATCAAAAGTTGGTTAAATGACCATGGTGTTGGTGTGCTTGACTGGCCAGCAAACTCACCAGACCTGAACCCCATAGAGAATCTATGGGGTATTGTCAAGAGGAAAATGAGAAACAAGAGACCAAAAAATGCAGATGAGCTGAAGGCCGCTGTCAAAGAAACCTGGGCTTCCATACCACCTCAGCAGTGCCACAAACTGATTACCTCGATGCCACGCCGAATTGAGGCAGTAATTAAAGCAGAAGGAGACCCTACCAAGTTATTGAGTACATGTACAGTAAATGAAGATACTTTCCAGAAGGCCAACAATTCACTAAAAATGTTTTTTTTATTGGTCTTATGGAGTATTCTAATTTGTTGAGATAGTGAGTTGGTGGGTTTTTGTTAAATGTGAGCCAAAATCATCACAATTAAAAGAACCAAAGACTTAAACTACTTCAGTCTGTGTGCATTGAATTTATTTAATACAGAAGTTTCACAATTTGAGTTGAATTACTGAAATAAATGAACTTTTCCACGACATTCTAATTTATTGAGATGCACCTGTATATACACACAAACGTATACATATATTTAAAAATATGTATTCATGCAGTTCCATATTTCTTTAAATGTATATTATATATTAGAATTACATTTTTGTAAATATATTAATAAATTTTATACACGTACATATGCATTTTTTGTCAAATATCATCCATTTTCATTATGCTTGCCTATATTCTATATTTTTTTGTTTTTGTAAATAATGTTTAATTAAACTAAGTAGACATGCACACAGATATGCCTAATTAAAACTCAAATACTTCTCATGCATCTGCCTGCATTCTTCTTCTTCAAAAAAAAAAATGCACTGCAAACTGCAGGAGAAAAGGAGCATAATCAAACATTATAATAATTGTTCATTAAATATTTAATGTACTTAGTTTATGAAAAATGCAAGTGACTGTCTAAACTCTATGAGGTACGTTTATAGAGAAGATTATGAACATTGTAACATGCACATATCCACTCTACCCTAATTTTACTTACTATATTCCTTTTCTATAATCGGCACAGGAAAAGTTCAAGCAAATATTTTTTTTTTGTACCCATGTTCGCAAAATGAGGATTTTAGTGCTTTTCTTTTCTTTGGTTTAGTGAAAATCTTGTGCATAAAGAGCTGTTTATGGGTTGAGTCAAGAAGAAAAAGACAAGATCACAGAGTCATGTTGAAACATCCAGATAGTCTGGTTTTTGCTCGTACTGTACATTCAAACAATGTTAAGATGTTTTTAATGCATGGTAACTGAATGGGAGCATTCTTGTGGATTAGAAGCCATTTTTGGTCTCCCATTTATTGTTACAGAGGGAACCATTCTTAGAATTCACTTTATGAGCTCGTTTCCCAGAATGATTGTGCTTGTAAAATGATGGACAACAGCATTACTTTAGAGCAGCACAATATGCATGATATGGTCAACACAACACACTTATGAGCAATAGTCTTTATATTCACTCATATAAACCCGCCACTCAACCCAGCTTTAGCTGAAGACCAAGAATTAGCTTGGAGAAGACAGAAAACACTTCAACCCAATACTTTTTTTGTCAGCATGAACATTTACTTTTGTCATGTCATATAACAAAAAGTGATATTAACTAGAAATCAAGTTTCCATGTGGTGTAACTTAGTTTTATTTTAATTCCACAAATTTGTCAAAAAAATTACAAAATACTCAATTGGGGAGAACACGGGACTCACAATCTGCCTTAATTATCTCTACTTTTTTGTTTACACTGTCATCCCATGGCGACTACTAATATATACAATAAGCTTCAAGATACCAGTATATATAAATCTTAGCAGTCAGAATGTACATTCTGCTATTGCCGCTTTGAAACAAGAAGCTAAACCATTGACAACACTCAACATCAAAGGTTTAAGACACAAAAGAGGGACAAAAGGAGAAAATGCTTGAAACAAAAGTAAAATGCTGTATACATCTGAGACAGAATAAAAGATATATGACAGTCCAATTACAGAAAGTGATCGGCTTTGGGCGTATACTGCTAAAAACAGGCTTCTATGCATACTCTTCAAAGGATGCACAATGGCTTTTTTTGAAAACCAAAAGGGGAGTATTAAAAACAGTACTAGGAGCTTTGACTGTACTTTGAACTGTAAGCTTGAAAAATGAAATTAATCTTCATTTCAAAAAATGAACATTAATTCTGATGGATCTGGAGAAAACAAACAAAACCAACAAAAATACTGCATGTAACAGTCGATGATTGCTATCAAACAGCCTCGACATGATAGAGAGCAACTGAAGAGGCATCATGCATCATAGGTAATGCAGTGTCAGGAATGCAGAGAGCAGCTCAAACACGGTCATCATCTCCACTACTGTGAACACATGCACACACGGGTACACAGACTCCAAGCCACCCTCTTCCCCCAGGCTTCACAGTGAGAATGGTTCTATGAATCTGTACAGTAGGTCGGGAAACTGACTGCGCCAGGACTTCAGGAGACAAACCGGGGGGACATTGCTATCTTTTTCCAGCACCCTTTGACAATGTGTAAATCTAGAAGTAAAAAAATGTGCATCAAGATGTCATATTGTTACTTAAAAAAGCAGTCCGGTCGGTTTCGCAATCTCTAAGCACTGAGGACCTATCCATCTGCAAAAATGAATGCCGTTCAACTTTGGTACACAGAAAACAGAGCAAAGGGCTTTCGAAATACACTTAAAAAGCCGTAAGAAAGCCAATTATAGTTTAATAACAAAAACTGAGGTTAATCAGTGCAATATTTATTCTTTTTAAATGGGCTACTTGCCCCAATACTTACGAGGCACCGCACATCCTCCTCCTTCAAGTGTTTTTATGTGTAACTCGGTTTGAGTTCAGCCATGAAAGTAAAAATATGGTCATGATGCCATGAGTGTTTGTTGCAGACTGTCGATATATATGAAATGAATCAAACAAACAAACAAAAAAAACGTCATCTGAGCTTTGACCTCTAGAGGTGTTTGGATTAAAATCCGGTACCATTCTACCCAGCCAACCCCGTTTCCATGGACTGAACCATCTGACATGGTTACCTGCTCTAACAGTGCCATCTCCTTCCCCTCTGAAACAAGGGATGACACTTGCAAAAATTATTATATCGGAGGTCTAACGACTCTGTTAGGAATCCACATCTAATAATAATTATAATAATAATAGTAATAATTATATGTGTATATATATATATATATATTTATATACTATTTACAGACTCAAAAAAACGCCATGCTGCAGCTTTTCTTAACATTATGAAAACCTCCTACAATGTATTAAAATAAACATTGAATTTAAGATAGCACTTTTTAGATATAATGGCCCGACTGTTCGGTTCCTTTGTTTTTCCCCCAATTAGCACAGTGACAAAGTATCTGGTTTTCTAGCACCTACAAAAGACGTCAGGGAAGCTTCTCAGAGTATGTTCATGCAGGAAAGTCACAATCAGTCTTGAGGACGCTGTCACTACTTGAACGATATATAACCCCCCGGAAAAAAAACAATGTCTTAAAAAAAAGTCCGGAATAGTGAAGAAAGCTGACAACAGAAAGAAGGTTCCTCAGACAACCCCCGTCACTCCACCGAACTGAAAACGTTCCTAGGAGTTCCCGTGTGTGACTGTTCTGCTGTGACCTCCTGTGTCCTGCTGATGCTCTGGGAGTCCGCGGTACATCACAGCTGCTTGTCACTTTCCTTCTTCAACCGGCTAGAAAATAGTAAGAGAAGAGAGACGTACAGTATTATGACAGATGTCTGAAGCACATATACATTCCAGCAAAAGTTTGGCTGCAGGACTTACCTGTAATAGTCCTCCTGTCCTGGCAGAGGGCCTCCGTGCATGTGGTGATGACCGTGTAGCCACTGCTGCTCCATGGCCAATCTCTGTAGCTCTGCAGACTGTGCATGCATGGCCTGCAGCTGGTGAGCCGCTGACATGGGTGGTGGGAGTCCACCTGGGAGATCTCTGGGATATGGAGCGCCTACAGATGACACGGGAAGATTGATTAGTTAATGCCTGGACAAAGTGTTAGAATGATAGAGATGTTCACGTATGTGTCTTACCGAACACAGGGTGCCGGAGCATCTCGTGTTCATGTGGGGGATGTCCGAGCAGGGGGTTGGGGATGGCTCCGGGCGGGTAGGGGAACCGGGCAAGGTGCGGTCCGCCGGCCAGTGGGTCTACTAGCGGATGTGCCCCAGAACCTGGGGGACACACAAGACATTCACCACCACCTTCGCCGTGTCAGTAGCTTTTTGTAATGGTACACAGTCAGTATTATATAGAAACACACACACTTACTATTCACAGCACTGACATTCAAAATGAACATCATGCTTAAAAGACAAGCGTGTAATAATGTTTAATAGTAGGGATGCATGACACATCAACATCATATGGTCATCGGCCGATGTTGAAGATTTTTTGTTAAATGTATCTGTATCAGCCAATCTTTTAGCTAATCTGAAAATTAATATCTATTTATAATCTATCATACTGTACATTATAATATTGTTTAGGTGTTATTTTTAATTGATATTAACAAAATATAGAATTTTAATATTAGCCATTTATTGGTTATCGGCAATATGAAAATAATTACCAGCTTATGATTATTAGCCAAAATTTTAATATTGGTGTATTTTTCATACTGTGTACTATAATGTTATGATGCCTAAATCCACCTGAATTTAAAACAGCTGAATTTAATTTTCTGTGTTTTATATTTAATTTATTTAGACAATATATAGAATTTTTATATCAGCCATTTATCAGTCATAACATGAAAATAATTACCAGCCAGAATTTCAATATCAATGCATCCCTATTTTAAAGTATTTTTTAACCTGGAAATTAAGCCATTGCTTTTTCTTTCTTTTTTTCCAATTCTAAAGATTATCTTCAGTGGCCCAGATGGAACATGTGGGCATTTTTCACATTTTTGGGCTATTCCATCACTTGTGGAATTCTGTGTAATGATTTCAAACAAGTATGTTCTCATAGCTGAGAATACTGCACTTTTATAACGCATAATCGCATAATCAAATTAGCCAATATATTTCATAAAACAAGAGATATGCATGAGATTCCATGTGGACCTAATACAACAATCCAGAACACAACATTAGAGTGAAAGGTCCCTCACCTTGGTGCAGTGGGTCCTGTTGGTGCAGGTGTAGGTGTGAATGGATGTGCGAGTGCTGATGGTGGTGTGGCGTCATGTTGAACATCTGGAGCCGTGCGATGTTGTCGTTAGCCACGGCCATCCTCTCGACGTGTAGCCTCTCGGCCAACCGTTCGGGGTACGTCATCTCAGGCCGTAGCTGCGGCCCGGCCAGTGCCAGCCGTTCCCGCTCCAGTGGATTCAGGCCCGGGTGGAAGGAGGCGAATGGATGTGGGCCAGCCATGTGCGGGAGACCAATGGGCCCGTGTCGGGCAAAGTGCTCCATGGGGTTGGCGGAAGGATGCAGGCTGTCCAATTCTGGAGGTTTGACCTCGAAGCCCGGCTTCATCCTCTCCATTCTCATCTCCCTCTCGCGGATCTCCCTTTCCCGTATCTCTCGCTCCCGCAGCTCACGCTCACGCATGCAGGGGTCTGTGTTGTACAGGCCTGGCATGTGGTAGGCCAGGAGAGGGTCTGTGGGATTGAGCGTGACGAAGAAGGGATGGTTGCGGTTGGTGGGAGACATGACGTGGGGACGAGCGTATTCGCTGAGCTGGCGCAGAGCGGGTGTGTCAGGGCCGATGTAAGGGGGCACAGTGGCGATGGTGGTGGGTGGTGGATCAAAAGATGTCCGCATATGAGCCGATCCCGCCATCTGGGGTTCACCCATTCGACCCTCATGAGAAGAACTGGAAGCTTTCTGTAAAGACAGAGAGGACATTTAGGAGCAAGCAATCGATAATGAACAATTTTAGCTGAAATCATCGAATAAAGTTGCATTTCAACTTTTATGCAACACATTAGACCAAAACTTACAACAGCTCTCTCAGCCTCCTTCTCTCTCTCCCGTTCCCGCTCTCTTTCTTTTTCTCGTTCCCTCTCCTTTTCTTTCTCTTCTCGTGCTTTCTGCTCCGCTTCCCTCTTGGCCTTCTCCAGCGCCTCCTCCCGCTTCTTTGCCAGTTTTGACGAGGCCAGTGGTGTGAAGTAGAAGTCTGTTCTGGCACATGTGTTGTAACCTCTGTCCAGATGCTTGTAGAACCTGTAAACAGGATAGATGGAAAGACCATCAGCATAATCTTTGAGAATGAATCCTGTCAAGAGTCATTTTGCTGTGTGAAACCTTTCTTCTTATGTGACATATAAGATATGGAAGTGCAGAAATCTTTTCACAGGCTGAATTTGCAGCCATTTGAAAAGCAATGCAATTACTTTGTGACAAATAAATAACTTCTGGCATGTCCTCTCGTTTAGACTGCAAAAGAGCCACTCAATCAGTCTTTTTAATCGCTAGTGCCATAATGAGCTGTTCTCTCTGTGCATTAGTGAGCTTATTGCTATTCACTTCAAGGGAGTGTGAGACAAGGCCACAGCAGCTCTACAAAGACATGCTCATGTTCTGATGGAGGCTTTCAGTGCTATGAAGCAGTCATTAATCTGTGTCCTGTCCACGCTCGATGACTGCACAGGAGCCGAAGCAGGTTTAATTAGAACACTACATTAATAGTGCTATTTAAAGGGGTCATATGATGCTTTTTTAAAGATCATTATTTTGTGTATTTGGTGTAACAGAATATGTTGACATGCTTTAATGTTCAAAAAACACATTATTTTTCAAATACTGTACATTATTGTAGGTCCTCTATGCCCCGCCTCTCTCAAACGCTTCGTTTTCTACAAAGTCCCTCCTTCCGACAAGCGCAGTCTGCTCTGATTGGCCAGCTGACCCAGTGCATTGTGATTGGCCGAACACCGCAAGCACTCGTCGGAAATGTAACGCCCCTTACCATAATCGCGAGCTTCATCTTTCAAAATAAATGTAAAGACAGTAAATAATGTCATTAGTTTTACCATCAGTTCAAGCCTGAAAGGGGAACAGAGTCGCGTGACAGACACAGTGATGAAGCTGGTATGTGTTTGCAGTACACAAGCCACGGTTAAGACAGCTGACTCCACTTTGATGTGACGCTGTCTCTCTCTCTCTCTCACACACACACACATGCGCGTGCACGCACACACACATGATGCGCAAAACTCTGCATTTGAACAGTCAATAGCAAATACTTAAACTAATAACTAAACAGTAGCTGATTCAGAAGCGCCTGATTGTCATAGCAAAGTCAGAATTACCTCCTCTCCTAGGTTCACGAAACGGTCGTCCATAAAATGCATTGCTGTTCTGTTGTAAGTAATCTTAAAGATTCCTAAATGCATCTACTTTCGGAAGGCTAAATAAAGTGCTTTTGCTTTCGCCTAGAAACACACAGCGTCTCCTTGACATGGCTGCTTCAACACTAACTGCGGTTACTGACACCATGCCTTCTTTCTTTGCGTGCACATTTGCGGCGGGATTATGCAAATATTTCCACATAGTGGGGTAGATATGTGGGGGCGTGTTAGAATGAGCCGTTTTAGGGGGGCGTGGCAGAGTCATAACTTTGATAAAGAATATCTCTTTGGTTTTGAGACTTTAGTCTTTGCAACTTCAGGGATCTTATCTATGCACAATCAGCTTGTAACACTCCAAAGAGAAAGGAAAACTTGAAATCGCATCATATGACCCCTTTAACACAACTTTTAAACAAGTACATTTTGCACAGAGCACAAAAATGCGTATCATTATTAATAATACACAATTTTAATAAATATAATATTTTATTCATAATAAAAAGGAGAAATTACAGATTTTTTTATTTATATATATTGATATTGCATTTTTTGTATTGTTTTATCATGTGTATTATAATATTATTATATATAATTTTAATAAATGTAGTAAAATATTGTTTAGTTTTAAAAAAAATTACAGATTTAAAAAAATCTGTCCAAAAACTTTTATCCAAAGCGACTTACAGTGCATTCAGGCTATACATTTTTTATCAGTATGTGTGTTCCCTGGGAATTGAACCCACGACCTTTGCGCTGCTAACGCAATGCTCTACCACTGAACCACAGGAACATTACTACAATCTTACTTCCTACAATCAAAAATATAAATGACTAGTATACCGTTCTAATAAATGCAATCAAATATAATTTGATGCAATCAAATAAAATGATAATTTCTAATATTTTTATAATAATAATAATAATAATAATACATTATTATTTAATGTTTTTTTTGGTTTATGATTTTATCTTATAATAAAAATATTAATATGTTTAATAAATATACTAAATTGTTACCGTGCAGATTGGCTGGCGTGACTGGGAGTGTTGACGATGGTGGGTGGAGGTGAAGGGCTCCTCTGTGGTGGTGGAGGACTCTCTGGCTCCTCTGCCTCATCCAGAGGCTCTTCTTTAATTTGTACAGGTGGCACAGTGGAGGGTCCCGGACAGGGTGCGGTGACTGATGCAGGCAGGGGCATGGATACGGAGGAGAGTGGCTGCTGCAGCGTAGCCATTGAGCTCACCGCAGAGGAGGAAACGGCGGAGGGTGACAGGACGGGCGAGCTGCCTGGCATGAAGGCATGAGGAGGGAACGGGGGCTGAGAAGGCGTTGAGTGCGAGGCGGAGGAAGAGGAAGGGAGCGGAGGTGCCGGCGGTGGAGCTTGACTTCCTGTCGCCGGAAGGTTTTGGGATTGGGTTAGCACTGGAGGTTGCACTGGTGGAGGCTGGAGCTGCTGGTTTTGAGACATGAGCTGAAGTGGTGGCGGATGGGCGGAGGGAGGGTGATGTGTGGATAGAGAGCTGAGGGGCTTCAAGGCTGGCGGAGGGGGCAAGTTGGAAGGCATCTGCGGGAATGGGGGGTGGCTGGGATGCTTGTGTGATTGAGGGTTTGGCATTTGTGGGATGGGGGTGGTTGGTGGAGGTTTGATGTGGGGCATAGGCAATGGTGCGGGCGGAAGAGGCTGCTCTCTGGGAGGCTGGCTGCCGCTCTGCGAGGAGGACTGCGACTGGGATGGAGGGGTACGAGGTCGCTGTTGTTTAGACAGGGAGGTGGATTGGGCCTGACCGGTGAGAGCTGAAGGGGGGACCTGAGACTGACCTATTGGGAAAGACTGAGCGGGTAAAGCGTGAGGGTGAGGCATGTGTGATGGCCCTGCCTGCAGAGGGTGGCCCATGGGCGGCATGGGGCCATGTAGTGGAGGCTGCAGGGACTGAGGGCCGGTTTGAGAGGGTGGAGGCGGTTGAGGCAGGCCTTGCAGTGGGGAATGAGGTGAGGGCAGCCTCTGCGCTCCTGACTGGATAAGAGACAGGGGACCTGCTGGAGGTATCTGCTGAGGAGGCATGGAGGTAGGGGGGATGGATGGGGACGGCTGAGAAGACAGCGAAGGCGCGCCTGAGGTGGGTGGTGTGGAGGTTGCGACAGCAGAAGGAGGGGCCGGGGGTAAAGCACCTGTCTGACACTGGATGACTGGAGGGTGCTGGCCCTGGAGGATCTGCTGCTGCGCCGAGGAGTCGGAGTCACTCTCATTGTCACGCGGGCTGGGGATGCTGGGAGAGGAGCTGCGGTTGTCCTGGTCAATATCCTTGGGATCGCTGCTGCCCTCGTCATTTACGCTGCGACCATCCGAGCTCTCACCCTCGCCCTCTCCCTCACACTCTGAGGGCGAGTCCGGCCGTTCCTGCGGATGATGGAAGGGAGGAGGAAGGGTCAATAAACTTGGCCATAGCAGCAGTTACTAATGACCGAATAATGGGTGCAGTCACGATCAAGAACAAATAACCTTTGCACATCACAGTGCTTGAGTTGTAATGTGAACTCCTGACATTTAAAGGATATGAAATCACTCTATCGTGCAATCACATTGCTACCATAGGTAACGGCCAAAATGAATACAAAACATCCGTAAAATCTAGTGTCTTCACTGGACTCAAATAGAACTGCCATGAACCCTTCAGTGAACTTTAGTCTAAGTATATTATGTCATTTAGATTAATGGAGAACTGTTCTTCCAAGAAAACCTCTTGTTGATAGTTTTTCTCCCAAACAAATCCCACATTTCCATGCTAACAATAAGTCACATTATCACTTAGTTCTTTAGAAGTACTCATCAAACAACCATCTTTAATACAGCAGCACAAATTTAGAAGTATAGAAAAGAACAGAAAAAATCTGTCCATGCTGTTTCTGTTTAGAGCTACACTTACTCTTCTTTACACAAAATAATTGTATTACATAGGTTGCTTGTTTAGTAGGAGTTACTTACCTGCGTTTTAGACTTCTTGGCGCTTGCTCTCTCGGACTCCTCTGTATCCGAGGCTCCTTTCTCTCTCTGACGTTTGGCACTCTTCATAGGCGATTGCGCCTCTTCCTTTGTTTTCTGTTTTGACAAAATGAAAACATGTTTCCTCTGAAAACAAGGTCCTGTGATGCTCAGTGTGATTTTGATTGCTATAGTCTGGGTCCTGTAGGTCATACCTTGCTGGGTTTCTTCATCGAGTCAATCTTGCTGTCAGTGCTGGAAGTGCTGGCCGCACTGGGTGAGGTTCGCCCGCTGGACCGCAGATCCTCATTGGTTGGTGAGGCTCTGCCATCTGGGCTGGCAGTTTGCTTCTTGCGGCCACTTCGTAGCGTTGACATCTGAACCGAATAACAAAATATCTGATATAACACTGCTAACAATGCTAAAACACATTATATGCAGTTAAAATGGCACTAAAAGTGAACAAAGTTTGTGTCTTACTGAGCCGCGATTCCGTCGAGTCCTCATGCTATGCTTCCCACTGAGTCCATCGTCTTCCTCTTTGACAGGTTTGAACATAAACGGTGGCGGGTCTACAGGCTTCTCAATAGGGGGTAGTTCGCCGTACTTCTTAAAATGGATCCGGCAGTCGGTGCACAGCAGGATGTTCTCGCGACCCCCGTGGTGCCAGTCCTTGGAGGCTGTAAACACAAATTCGAGTTCAGCTGGGCTCTGCTTATTAAACATTACACTAACAGGAAGTGCTCCAGGCCTAGCCAAACACCTATGGACATGCTAAGGTCAAAAACTCTTACTCATCTGTGCTGAGGATGTTTTCGTATCAGAAGTGAGAGCGACATGAATGCCAACTGCATCCAACAGGTCAGAGGATTTAATGAGGCAAAAAACAAATGAGTAAGTGTCAGATTAGAAATGACACGCTCTGATGTCCATCTGCCAGACGAAGGACAGGGCCGAGCATCGGAGCGCTCTCAAACTGAGACTAATTACAGGCCTACAGAGGGGATTATTGAAGTCTTCTGAAGGGGGAACTCTTATAGAGTCTTCACCTGTCTTATGGTATCACTATATTAGGGTAACATCACTTCACACCTGATCAACTGACAAAACTCATTGTTTGCTTCTTCTCTCACTTTGACCCATTCGGCAAAAAAAGAACATGGGTGACATTATACAACAATTAGTGCCGGGTCTCTAATTTGAGTCAAAAAAACAAACCAAAAAACACTATGTATATGTGTGTGTGTATGTATATATATATATATATATATATATATATATACATAGTTTTTTTTCTTTCTAAAATTTAAGTTACTCAATATTAACTCTTCTGTCTAAATACCAGCATGGTGTGATAGTTGTAATGATAAATTAAGCACTCACTGGTAGTAAAACAGTGACGGCAGGCGTAGCCCTTCAGTTCCTGCTCGCTGTCTTCACTGTCAAAGTCATCTTCGCTGGCTGAACTCAAGTCCACTGGAAAAGATAAACATGCTGGTTAATGAACGTCATTTCACAACTACAGTCTCTGTAAGACATGCCTGCTACACTTAACACATTATCACTGGCTCTTTGAAGAGATAAGTACAGTACACATAATAACAGCTATCCCTCACTGTTATGTCTCTTATCGGATATGAGATTTCAGCTGTTTACTATTAAGAATCACAAAGGGGGATATCAATGCACTCTGAAAAGTTTCAGGGATGTCATGTTTAGTTGTGACAAGAGTCTGTTCTCTGTCTGTAGGGGGAAGAGAGGCAGATTGCACTTACAGAACTCGCTGGAAGGTGGGCGGGAGGGAGTGTTGACGGGAGTGGAGGCAGTGCGGGTCTTGATCCGCGAGCTTTGGCGCTACAAATAGGGAGTGAAATGGCTCCAAGCCCCTGTGCTAGAAGAGTCAATTGAACTTTAATCAAACATTCAGAGGGCGCGCTTGCCAGGGTGTAAGGCATATAAATCCCGAGCACAAAAGCCAGCAAAGAAATCAATACCCTACTGAAACAGTAACACATGCAATCATGGATCAGAAGACGCTTTGCTGAGGCAGCCTGCGCAAATTAGCTGTCGCTTTCCAGACACACTCAAAATACACATGCCCTGAAACCGTTGTCTGGTGGAGAAGCAATTATGCACTTTTCCTGTGGTGGTTCCTCTTGTTTCTCTCTTGTACCTTTCAGTTTCCTTCCAACTGAATCATTTGCCTGATTTTGGATATTCATTTCAAGACATTACATTGGAATGGCTTGCGTGTCAACGGCTGAGCTTTTAACATGCTTTAATGTTTTAATGGTGCAGGAATGAGTGAGGAGGACAGTCATGAGGCTGAATGGGGCTTGGGTATCTTTAATGCGTATTGATTGCTTTTCCTCTTTGCTTCGACTGTTCTTCTTGACATAAATTGGTCATTAAAATGCTGTTCTCTCCAACACATTAACAGCTTTACAGCAAACACTTCAAACTATTCTTGGTAGCAAGCGGAAAACATGTACTTCGAATCCTATCAGACGATTCATAGGCTATTTTATTGCTTGAGTGAATTTTACTGAACCATATAAATTTGCTTCGGATGCCTGCACTTGAGTATATGAATTACATTTACATAAATCACAAAAAAAGCTGCAGCAGTCTGATGGATGGCCGGCTTGCTAAGCTATCATGTCTGACATGGGCAAACACACAAGATAAGTCTCGTACTTACAGCTTCTTAGGAGTTTTGACTGCCCCTTTTCCCAAAAGCAATCTAGGTACAAACATCATGTTCATCAAAAAGCACATGGAAAGTCACATTAAAGCAAAGGCTTCGGCGTTTAAAATTTAAATCCACGTTATGGTCTTGAAAATTATGGTGAGATCTGAATATGTCATTGAAGAAAAAATAAAAATTCATAAAAAATTCACAAAACACAAAAAGTAAACAAACCACCTCTACTTGTACCTGAAAACACCTGAGAGTTAATGCCTTGCTATAACTCTTAAGAATAAGCCCAGCTCCTGCGGGTTATTTATCCATTGTGATGAGTGGAACGTGCAATGGCGAAAGGCCCGGGGCCGGGTTTGAGACAAAAGGCTTTTTGGAGTGGTCGGTCAGGGCGCAGGTGCAGGCCAAAGGATGGCAGGCTTCCTGATGTGAAATTTAATTGAAATGTGCAGATCAAAACGGCGGCAGGCTTTCTCCACAGCCTAATGACTGCTCGCCACAGCATCCCCCTCCCCTTCCTCACAGTTGCCCATTGCTTTTTATTTTCCCTCCCTCTATTTGATGTGAGCTTTGAAGCATGAAACCTCAACTTAATGCTACAGAAGATAAAAAGAAAAGGTTATTTTAGCCCTCAACCATTTCGCCGGAGCACTTCATAGCTCTTAAACGTCCTAGAGGAAGGCAGACGAAAAATTTGCTGGGGTTTGGCATAATAACATTGTGAAAGGAATCACCGTGGTCATTCAAAAGTAATTCAGTCCACAGGCTATCAAGACAGGTGTCAAAGTTGGAGAAGAGCAGACATCCACTGGCGAAGATAACACAGTGATGTTTAATGCAATCTGCTGAAGCAATATGTAGAGGAGTGGGGGAATGAGGATGAAAAGAGTGATGAAATGTTTAGAGAGGATCTGTGATGACAAATTTCCTTGGGCGATAACTGTACGATGGAGAGCTATAGAAAAATCCCCTTTTAAGCTAGAAGAGAGGAGATGGAAGTGGAAATATGATTTGATTAGAAGCATGGAGGGGCTGTGCCAAGTCACGGCTCCGGGTTTTTCTCTCATCCCTCACCCATTTCAGCGCTGCCCGTTCTTTCTGACAAGACGTTGCTGGTTTGTTTGTCGCACAGGTAAGGGGGAAAAAAATTCAATTTTTCTCAAGGTGCTGCACAGAAACGTAGGACGGGCAAAGAAGTAGCTATTAGTCTTTTATATAAGGAGATGTCCTACTGTGAAGCAAAATAAAAGACGACATCTGGGGGAGGAAATGTCTCCTGTGAGTTTCTGTTTGCAGTGGAGGCCTGTGAAGCAGGATGCACATAGCGAGTGTCAAGTGCTAAGACTGACAGCTTGAATAACAAAGCCAGGTCTTTGTGTGTCAAGGTAGGTTTGTTGAAAACAAAACTGAGATTTCTCTCAACTATCTGTAGTGAGCATCAAATGTCAAATTTAAGTCTTCATTTCTTGTTTGCTGTATACACTAGTGTGCAAAATATTATACAAAACAAAAAACAAAAAAAAAACAAAAAAAGAGTCCACCCAAAAATGAAAATTCACACTCATGTCAAAATACTCGGCCTAAAATACATTTTCCCGAATAGCTTGTCCCCCCAGAGCCAGGATAAATGCATAAAGCTACTCGTGTATGTGGAATTTCCTCCATTAGCCCTGAATCTCTAAGCAGAAGAGAAGAGTGTGTGCCAGGGAGCGAGAGATACTGACAACGTAAGCTTGGAATTATAAGACATTTCAGAATGCTTCCATCTGCAGAATATTTCTGGAGGGTGGATTATCTGATAAGGATGGGGCTTACCTCCTATCACGGCACAGAGAAATGCCTTTCCACTCTGATTTTGCCTCGAGAAAACCTACGATGCGTGTGTGCACAAACTGTAATTTCCAACAGATTATGCTTCTTTTCATCGCGGCAGACCGTTGGGGAGAAACCGTAGCTGGACCTTCTGGTCATGTGTGCGTCTGCATGTAGGATGGGTGCAAGGCCCAAACTCCTGTATTTATACACTCATCCGCACTCAGGCCTGGACAGATGGTTTCTGTTTTTCCTGGCAGACTTGTGACGAAGCCACAAAAGGCCCCTGCTTTGACAGCGAGCCAAACGGTTAAGGCTGTAGCTGGCAAATACAGGGGAAGGAGAGCAGCAGAGAATGCAAGGGAGGGCAGCGAAGGGGGAAGAGAAAATGGAAGATAGCAACAGACAATCAAGACAGCCTGACGAAAACTTGCTTGGTTAAACAATGTTTTTGATACAAGAACATTTGGTCACTAGGTACAGACAGGTGATGTGCAGCTGTAAACATTAATTAGTTGAGTTGGCCCGTGTGCTTTCCGGTTCTTGCATGGGACCGATTGTGCCAGTGTACAATGTGGGCGGGAGTGACATGCAGAGGTAACTACAAATTCAAGCCTCTGTAACAGGAAAAGTTGAAAGAAGTTTGACTAACATATGGCACTTTATATTTCATATATATATATATATATACTGTATATATATATATATATATATATATTTATATACACACACACACATACATCTACATATATATATACTGAGTACAGTAAGAAAGTAAAAAACAAAAAAAACAAAAACAAAAAAAATCACTGGTCGATCCGT